ATTTCCTATAAGCATTTCCTATAAGTATTTCCTATAAGCATTTCCTATAAGTATTTCCTATAAGCATTTCCTGCAAAAAGTTCCTCCAACTAGCTCTTCCAAGTCTTTAATGCTTAGATGAATGAGATGATAATGAACATCATTATATATAGAGAAACTCTGCACTTCATTTACTGCACTGCACGACTGATCCCCACCAGGCCTGGACGACTAAAGAAATGCTGCAGCTAGCAGCTGTTGCTTTATATAGAGTGCCTCTCATTCAAACCCAAGCTACGCTCAAATGTCGGGGCCGATGCCAGGTAGAGATCGTTGAGTCGATCGAGCATAATTTAACTCTCTGCTGCTTCAAGCATTCCCTTAAATTTAAATGATCTTCTGAAGCTCTTCTTCTTCTCTTGCTTTTCTTTAGACAGAGAGGCAGACTGTGAGGCAGATAGAGAGATAGATATACAAACAGACATACTAAGTGATTTATAGGCAAAAAAACACGCAAAGTTTAACGAGGTATCTCTTGTCAGTAGCTAGAGCGAGTGAGTGTATCTGTGTGTGTGTGTGTGCTTTTTTTTTTTCATTATTTGCAAGATGTTAAGGGCTCTATAGTTATATATAACATTTGTATGTATCCACTTACATGTACGTATGTAAAGGCAAAAAAAATTGTAGCCCTTACAAACATCCAATATTCCCTCACACATACTAATTACTTTACTAATTACACAGCCCAACAGGCTTGAGTAACAAAAATATAGAAAAACAATTTCATTGCCTAACAACTATAGTCGGAATTCGTTTTGAAACTTCTCTTGGCTTGTTTTACTGGACAATTGGTATTAAGTTCGAACCTCAAGTTCTGTTCAAGAGATTCAAAATGGGAAATACGTATATATGTATATATGTATATGCATGTATTTGCCTGTTGCATCAGTAGTCACAGTTTCACACATTCAATATTCACTCATTAATGCTCAATGTGATTTGCCAAGAGCTACAAACATAGATACATACATACATACATACGTATATCTAAGGAATCAGCAGAGGTTCACTTACAGCCAAATGTCGGACAATAGGTTACAGCTACCATCTAGACAGTTCTCTCCTTTTTTTCTGCAGACAGCAACAACAAACAGCCTGGCCGTGTTATGCATACCCGAATGAAATATGAGGGCCCAACAGACGGTGCCAATTTGCATGTGCAAATGTAACTGCAAATGCGCATGGATGCGAGCATCTATTGAACTATGCCCAGTGGCGGCTAAGTAAGCATAACTTATGATATGTGTATGAAGCCTTCCAGACAGCTGTGTGCATGTGTGTGTGCGGGTGTGTGTGATGCGCCTAATAGAGCCGTATTTGCCTCAACTTTTGCCGGCGCACAGGATGCCTTCGCTCTGGATGGGCCACTTGACGGGCGGGCGCTTCAGTCATTGCCCTCTCCCCTACCACCTCTCTCTCTCTCTCTCTCTCTCTCTGCAGCTCTCTCTGTGTCTCCCTCTTCAAATACGTAATCAGTGAAATTTTCATGCACATTTTTCTTTCGTTTTTCTGTGTAAACAAAGTGAGCTTTGAGCTGACGCTCAACTTGAAATACGTTTCCCAATTTCCATAAACACGTGTGCAAATAACACGTGTGCTCCAGCGCCAGCTCCAGCTCCAGCTCCAGCATCATTTGGCGGCTGAGCAGGAGGACGATAAAGCAGAAGGGGTGCCCCCTATACATACGTATATACATATGTATAGGGGCTGGCTGAGTGGGCCCTCGACATTAGCTAACTATTGCCGGCATTTGATTGAAGGCGTTCTACGTTGGGTCTACGGCATTCTTATTTGAGTTTCGGCGATGTCAAATGCGCCTCAAATTGATTTTTATTTATATTTCAAAGGAAAACTTTTCTGCAGCTGTTCGGCTTTTGTTTTTGTTTCTTTGTATTTTGTTGCCTTTTTCCGGGTTTTTCCCGGTTTTTGCTGTTTTCTGTTTTTTTTTTTTTTTTTTTTTTTTTTGTTTTTTTTTTTTTTTATTTTTTTTGCTTTTTTCGGGTTTTTCCCGGTTTTTTTTTTTTTTTTTTTTTTTTTTTTTTTTTTTTTTTTTTTATTGTTTTTTATTTCGCATCATGTGTGCAGCTGTGACAAACTTGGTCCAGGCACCTAACACCCTCGATCCCCCCGCCTTCCAGACCCGAGCTTTGCATATGGGTCCGTAACTCGCGCCTTGTACACGTATTCCCTGTTTATGGAATTGCCATTAGGCTATTAAATACGAATCGACCTGCAAATCGACCATCTGTTCCGGCCCCCAAAACAGCCGACAGGCCGCCGTGGCAGTTTCTGGATTTGCCCACCAAAGATATATGAGACCGCCCTGCCCCGCCTCTTTTCGACTTGTATGCACGTACTGCGAACTGCGCGAATCAATAAACTATTCATAAATACTAAATATTGAATTTGGGCTTCTGTCTACCTAATCGGCGCATATAAAAATAGATAATGATAGTTTTCCAAGTGCTAAATATTTGAGGGCTCATACCAATGACATTGCGTGCAAGTGAAGTCGATTTTCAGCCAGTGTTGGCTAACGATAGGCAAGGCTAGTAAACAGCGTTAACTAACACTGTATTTTATTTATTTTTTTTTTTTACATGCCAAATAATACAAGAGTATATTTAAATCAGGTGCTACAACATATCCAGCGAATTGCATGTATATTACAAACCAGTGTTGGGCAATGGCGCTATGCTATTTGGGGTATTTATTAATATTCTATCTATCTCAATATTGTTGCTATCTTTCTCTTTTTTCCTGCATTTTCCTCACTCTTGTTCATTCCATTTCTCCTTATCTCTATTTCACACCCTGCCTTTCTCACATCTAGCACATTTCTCGCACCGAGTCCAGTGATTTCAGTGTGGGTTCGCATAGCCGCAGTGAATATTGAATAAAGTGTGGGGCCAAAGACGCTGCCTTGAGGGACATATAGCTGGAGGCTTGGGGTGACCTTTTAAGACTTGGCTAAACGAGTTATTCTCGGCCATTGCATCTTCTTCAGTAGAGTCGGTTTCTGGCAAGTCTTGCTCCATAATGTTGTCTGCTGCCTCTGCAAGAGCAGCAAAACGATTATTGTGAAGCGAAGTTGATGTCAATGAGGTCGGCGCAGTCTACAGATTGACCTTACGGCTGAAGTCGGATGGCTGCTGTTCTCCTATCCTTTTCAAGCTTGTGCCTATCACAGCTTCTCGGCTTATCGAGCGTTATTTTGGGGTATTTGCTTTAGCGCATCAGCCTTGGACTTGCTGGCAATCACTGAATATCATCGACACGGTGTGGGTCGATACATAAGCGCGGCTTATGTGTGACGTAGTCATAGCATGTAAATTGTGTGTCACTACTTGTTCTCGCTCCTACCTAATAGCTATTAGTTTTAGATAATAAATTGACAGCTTGGCTGTTTGGCAACTATGTATAATTGCTTAGAAGTTCGTATCGAATTTGTGAGCGCCAAGTGGCAGGGTATGCATACGCAGAGCACAAGGCGAGGGGCGAGCGAGGTTTCTCTCTTCGCTGTTCATTACCGTATTAAAAATAGCTATCAGCTTCGTTTAACGACTCACTCGAACGAATTGCAGCAAGCTAAGCACAGCGCACGTCCGATGCTAATGACAGGCGCTTGCAGACTCTTCCACTCTCTCTCTCATTTTCTCTCTCACTCTCTCCATATACATATATGCATATATGTATTTTCCGCCCGTCTATTTCTGCATCTTCCTGCCCATCTATTCTTCTTCTTCTTCTCCGTCGTTTAGCATTTAAATTATATGAATTTCTCTAAGCAAATAAAAAGCTGTCAGCCATAAGTCACAGAGCCAGAGTCTGCGGTCTAGACTCAACGCTTGATCAGTGCACAAAGCGAAACGGAAATACAGATGTTTTATGTAATTGCTGTAGTTGGCGGTAATCCGAGAGCTTCGCGCTGTTGTAAATCGATGCTCTTGCGGCAGGGGCGTCACCGAGGGGGGGGCAACTGTAGGTCGATTGGTGGCAGCTGTGGGTCGAGTGGGGGCAGGCGACGCCTTTGCCCCTGGCTGGCGTTGATCTGTGAGCGCTGAAGGTTTCATTTGCAGTGGCGAGCAGCCGAAGCGGCATTCAGATGACAACAACTGGCATGGAACGTTGGCAGAATCGTGTGGCTGTGGTGACTGGAGCCAGCTCCGGCATTGGAGCCACCCTAACAAGGCAGCTCGTCGCATCGGGCATGATCGTGGTGGCGCTGGCTCGGCGTGTGCCACGACTGGAGGAGCTGCGCGAGCAGCTGCCCGACGATCAGCGCAGCCGGATGCGCATCCGGCAATGCGATGTGACGAGCGTCGAGTCGGTGGACAGCGCCTTCGATTGGATCGAGACGGAGCTGGGCGGTGCGGACATCCTGATCAACAATGCCGGCAAGCTAGAAGGCGGCCAGCTGGCGACCATGTCGCTGGACACCGTGCAGCAGATTCTGCAGACGAACGTCATGGGCGTCGTCTCCTGCACACAGCGCGTCTTTCAATCGCTGCGCAAGCGCAAGACCCAGGGCCATGTGGTGATCATGAACAGCATCGTGGGCCACTACCTGTTCAATCCGCTGCCCGGCAGCCTGCAGGAGCTGAACATTTATCCGGCCACGAAGCACGCACTGACCGCCATCACAGAGCTGCTGCGTCAGGAGTTTCGCGACTTCAAGACGCATATCAAGGTCACGGTGAGTAGCTGCGTGTAACTGCATCCTTCTGGCCTCACCGCCCGTCTCTGTCCCATTGTAGAGCATCAGTCCCGGCCTGGTGGACACGGAAATGGTGCCGCAGTCCTACAAGCGTCTGCCCCTGCTGCAGCCCGAGGATGTGGCCAATGCCATCATGTATGCCCTGGCCACGCCACCCCACGTCCAGGTGCACGAGCTGACCCTCAAGCCAATGGGTGAACCGTTCTAGCCACGCGATCCCCATCGATCCATTCAAGCAGCTTGTACACATTTGACAAATATATTGCGAGAAATCAAAGCAGAGATAAGCTGGGCATCTTTGAACTGGGGAGTTTACTTTAATGCCATGGTAGATTTCCCTCGAAAGGGGAATTTTCCTATCTTCCGCTATTTTCTCAACGAACCCATTGTGCAGAGGGAGGCGTGGCAAATCCCATAAAGTAGTCACATTAGCCCTATATAAATATTCGTCTGTCTGCAAGACCTGAAATTTTTTATTTAAACTATACGCAACTTGGAGTATTACGCACAAAAGCAAAAACAAGTAAGAGAGTTCTAGTCGAGATAGCTGAACTTGACCTTGAACGCTTAAAACCCTCGGAAGAACAGCGTAAGCTGCGCAGTTAGCAGAACGCTTGGCTATGATTTCGAATGTGTGTGTGTGTGTGATGCGTAAGTGTGTTACTTGAAATGTGTCGAAGCGTAGCAAGATTGGAATATCAGCTGCTTCAATAGAGCTCAGACTAGCAAAGATGTGCCCAGTCTCTACCTTACTCTGTCACTCTTACTTGTTGTAGCTAAGGCATATCTCTCTCTCTTTTTTTTCATCTTTCCCATAGAATATAGAGCAATGTAGACTGTGTAGGCCAACCCTGCTGATCGTCAAGATATTACAGGTCTATAAGAATGAAAACATATGCTCCAAAGAGATGTATGTATATATAATACATGCTTAATCCAGAGAAATATATACATATATGTATGTATAGTTAAAGCTAGATCTAGAATAGAAGCCAAAGCTTGGATGATCAACATTCAAGCGTGACAAACACTGACTGTTGTCGCCCGGGCACTGTGGAGGTTCGAATTTAAAAAATAGTCACAACTTTGTTATTATTTATTTATGAATTGGTAAAAATGCGTAATTGCCTCGTTGAACAAGTGACAAACTGGCGAATTGAGTGACGGCCACTTAATTATTCAACCACGCAAATGGGCGTGATTCGGTAGCAACAACTATTTAAAATTCAATTGCGAACTTGGGTCCGTCGAGCGACAGGAGGCGGGGTGGCTGAGCATTGAGTGTGCCGTCGACTGGGCAGACCCCATATATAAAGGCTTCGAGGCGGACCAGAGTCAGTTGCCCAATTGCTCCGTTCAGCGGCGCACAAAGCACACAAGAAGAAGAAGTAGCAGGAGAAGGCATAGAAGAAGAGGAAGCTAAATATCAAAACTCAATTCAATTCCCAATCATCGTAAGAGAGCGAAGCATGGAGCGCTGGCAGAATCGTGTAGCTGTGGTGACCGGCGCCAGTTCGGGCATCGGCGCTGCCCTGGCCAAGGAGCTGGTGCGTGCCGGAGTCATTGTGGTTGGGCTGGCGCGTCGCGTGGAGCGCGTCGAGGCACTGAAGGAGGAGCTGCCCGACGAGCTGCAGTCGCACCTGCATGCGGTCAAGTGCGATGTGGGCGTGGAGGCGTCCGTTGCGGAGGCCTTCGATTGGATCGAGGCGGAGCTGGGCGGCATTGATATACTGGTGAACAACGCGGGGCTGCTCTACTCCGGCCAGCTGCTGACCATGCCGGTGGAGCAGCTGCAGCACGTGCTGCAGGTGAACTTGATGGGCGTGGTCTACTGCACCCAGCGCGCCTTTCGCTCCATGCAGCAGCGCGACGTGGCCGGCCATGTGGTGCTCATCAACAGCCTCACCGGGCACCACATCATCCATCCGCCCAGCGAGTCGCTGCAGACCCTCAACATGTATCCGGTGACCAAGCACGGCATCACGGCACTCCTCGAGATTATGCGCCAGGAGATGAGCGGCCTCAAGACGCAGATCAAAGTAACGGTGCGTAACGTTGCCCACTGTCCATTCCCATCCTAATGAGGCATTTCTTCTCATGAGCTTGCAGAGCATCAGCCCGGGCGTGACACGCACCGAGATCCTGCCCGGCGACTACAACATTCTGCCCATGCTGCAGCCGGAGGACATTGCGGCCGGCATTATGTACGCCCTGGCCACGCCGCCCCACGTCCAGGTGCATCAGCTGACCATCAAGCCGATCGGCGAGCCCTTCTAAGCCCCTCAGCTGCTCAGTAATAAAAATACACGACTCCTGCTGCTGCTGCAGCGGCAGGCGGACAGACAGGTGGCGCAGCTGCCTTGTCTCTGAAAATTGTGCGCTTTATTTGAAAATAAGTTCGACGAGCAGCCCCCACTGTGGTGTAGGAGGTGGTGCTGGTTGGTGGCCTGGGTGTGGCACTTCCGGCATGCAGCTAGGTATGCCAAAATACGAAAATAAGTTAACATTAGCTTGACATGCCGACGCAGCGTCCCTCTGCCGGAACAGGTGGCGTCCCCATCCGTTTCCGTGTTGCTCCTGCTGCTGCTGCTGCTGCTGCTCCTGCTGCATTGCCGGCGTCTGTCAATATTGAAAGCGTGCGCATTTGACATAAAATGTAATATAGTCACAGCCAACACACACACACACACACACACACAGACAGACAGCAGCAAACACACAGCTAGACTGACAAAGATGCTGCTGCAGCAGTAGCAGCAGTAGCAGCATCAGCAGGAGCAGCAGGAGCTGCAGCAGCTTCGTTCATTTTATGCAAAACAGCCAAAGACTGAGATGCTTCTACTCTGCATACGCCGTGAATTCTCAAAGTCTCGACTGGCAGAGATGTGTGTGGTCCAATCAGATGATATATGATATCCAATCCATGTGTTTCCTATAATTTTGTGGAATTCATTTCGCTAGCCCAGCCGAGTTGCTGCTGTCAGCTAGCAGCAATATTTCAGCCAGCAGCAGCAGCAGCAGTCGAATTAAATTGCTTTAAGCCAACCTCAATGCTTACTGATGATAGTGCAATGAATTGGTAAATTAGCTAAATTTGATATTTTTGCTATGCCCTGGCCAAGCTTTGTATTTAAGAATTATTAGAAATATTTCATATGGCAGGCACGACTCCTGCCGTTTGCAGTGTATTTTAGCTTTTGCATTTGCGTTTAGAATTTGAGCTTTGCTCACGTGGCTGCTGAAGTTAGCTGCATGCCAGACTTTGCAAAATGCCGACGCTCCAAGCCAGAAAACTTTTATGACTTGCCAGTGAGCAGGAGCAGGAGCAGCAGCAATATTGGTAATGGGAATGCTGATGGTAACGAGGAGCTGCTGCTGCTGCTGCTGCTGTTGTTGCAGTTTGGCATCACTTGCGTCACGGCATGTTGTCAATGTTGCATATAAACACGGCGTTGTCAATGTTGTTGCTGCGCGCGTGTTGTGTATTGCCGCGCTCGCTGCTGGCAATGCCAATGACAGCAGCAGCCGCTTTGGCAGCGCGGGTAACTCGTTTACTTGTCTGTTTCAGTGGCAGCTTTTTCAGTTGTCTGCCTGCTGCCTCCTGCCTCCAGCCTCCTGCTTCCTGCCGTGTGCCTGCTGCCTGCTGCCTGGTGGCTCCTGCCTGCTCGCTGAAATAGCTAATAATGTCGCCCATCCGTTTTGGTGCCCGTACGTAGTTATGGAGCTGATGGCGTTTGTTGCTCGACTCGCCTCGCCTGACGAGTTGTGATTTTTGCTTGTTTCCTCCTTCCGAATTGGCGAATTGGCATCGCCTGCTGGCCGATTGAAACTTACAACAATGCCACGCCCACTGCCCGGCAAGCGAAGCGTTCATGCAGCAATCGTTTTGACCTTCAGCCGGCAGCGGTTAACGTTTCAATAAACACCTTTCGGCTTCAAGTGCAAGTCGAGCTGCTAGCTCGAACAGCTGCTGCGCCTCTGGCCGGCATTTCCGTTCATGTTCCATTTCCGCTTCCTCATCAGCACACTTCGACGCATTCATCGTCGCGCTTGGGGGACTGTTGTTGCTGCTGTTGTTGCTGTTAGCTGCCCCTGTTGTGAAACTAGAGAAATTTATTTAGCCGGCTTTGTGAGTTACAACTTTTTGATTTTTGTCTTAAGGCACACAATTTTCTGAATTCACTTTAACTTTATATATTCGCATTACAGTTTATTTATTTCGGAAATTTATATTTTAAAGTGAGTTAAATTTTTAATATGTTATATTATACGAGATAAAATAGGTAACACGAGGAAAGGTGAAGGTCATGGAGAGATAGTGAGAAGAACATGAACTGATGAGATACAAAGAGAGAAACAGAGAGGAGGACACAGTGAGAGAGAGAGAGAGAGAGAGAGAGAGAGAGAGAGAGAGAGAGAGAGAGAG